GAAGGACGAATATTAAATCAGACCCTCCTTCTAGCGCCAAACTGTTGATGCGTGATTTTGACACCAACTAAATGCACGTGTAAAATGCTGAGCTGACCTAGAAGACACACGTGAATGGAGGATTGAGAATGTAAATGATGGCAAGACAATGTTTAAAGTGGTTCGGATGCTTAAACAAGCGAATCCTACGTCCACTGATATTGTATTTATGTTTGAAAGGTCAGGTCACGGCTTAGCGAGCTGACTATGAAATATTGAGAATACAAATGAGTGAGAGAGAGAGAGAGAGAGAGAGAGAGAGAGAGAGAGCTATTACAGAGCGAAATTAGCTAATCAAGAGTAAAAATAAGCGAATCCCTCAAATGGGAGAGAAGCTCTCTATTTATAGTGGGATACATTGGAGTAATGATTACTGAATCCGTAAAAAAGGGTCAGGTACTGTGCAAATCCTCTTTTTCGTCCCGTTATGCACCTACTCGCATGATTTCCTCACTTTATGCAAGGATTGGACACGCGGATGACCTCCAGCCATTCTTCAGTCTGCTGCACACCCATTGCACTGGCAGGAGCATGTTGCTTACGCCAACACGCGACGTGGCCGCGCCTAAATGGCTGCAGGGTCTGCCTAGACCCGGACCACTTGTCCTAACTAGGCTCTATGTCAGCCCTACTTTTCCAAGCATAACACTGTTGAAGAAAGCATGTCTGTTTTCCTTGAATGTGTTCTTTGTTGCTATTATGATTACATTATTTTCAAGATTCAAATCATGTTACTAAAGAATTACCTCTTGTTTTCTGAATCTAACATATCATTTTCAAGCTATTGGCGAAAATGGTTATGTTAAACGGATGAAGCCTAACACTTTTGATCTTCAAAACCGTGGAATAGTAGGCAAAAAAGTGACTACAAAGAAGTGAAAACGCTAACAAAAAGTCATAGGAGTGTGACAATTATGCAAGGTTTTATTATTCTAGTCATAGGGATAAGGTTTCAACAGAGTTAGAGAGGTTTATGTTTTGAGTGAAAAAAGAGAGAGTGAGGGAAATAGGGTGTAACCTGGTTAAGGGTTTTTTATGTTAGATTTTTATATTATCTCAACTCTAGTTAGGCCTCTTAGCCAAGGTCTTACAAGTATGCCTCGTATGCTCGGTATGAAACTTCTTCCTTATGCCCTTCTTTAGCTATTACGCTCGTTAGCATGTTATTAAAGAAGGGAAAGGTATTACTGTAATATTCCTATCTATCTGGCCAAGGAAAGATCTCTAGTTAGCTCTACTATTATTAGAACTAGGCGGCTATTAGGAGAAGATGATAGACCCATAGATATTAGATTAGAAGCACTCTAAAACGAGAAATTCATAATGGAAATATCCTATTAGTATTAGGTCCTTTGAGCGAGTGAGTTGTGTTTTCTTGAGTGGTTGTACTTAGAGGTGTAATGAGTTTAGCCGAGTATTAGGAAGCTTGAGCTTGGCTCGGCTTGAACAGTTAAAGCTCAAGCTTGGCTTAAGCTCGACTTGATTACCTGTGCAAACTTATGGTCTGTTTGTTTTATTATTTTGGATAAGATTTTGAGAATAATATTAGGTAGTTGAATAGGAGAGTATTACGAGGCAAAATTTAAAAATTTACAAAAAAAACCCCTAGGTTTGCTAATTTAACTAAACACCCAAATATATAAAAATTTTGTAAAATGACAAAAACACACCCACCCACCCACAGTGCCATATTCCAGCTACCACCGCTGAAATCTGGCCGAAAAATGACGTTACGACGCATACCAGTCAGATCTGGCGGGTAGGGTGTCGATATAGTATTTTTCGAAAATGTTAGATTTACGGCCAGATCTGGTCGTCGATGGCCGCCAAAGTCCAGATCTGGCAGTCAGCAACAGTCAAAGATATGACCGCCGTTGATCGTCAACAACAACTATTTCTTTGGCCGTCACTGACGACCAGATCTGTGAATTACTGGTCAGTTCCGGTCGTTTGTAGGCCGTTGTGATAGATTCCAACTATCACCGATGGTAGTTGCCAGAATCTGGCAAGTATGGGTGAGTGCAAGTATTTTTGTTAATTTTTAAACTTTTTTATAGGGGTATTTAATGAAATTAATAAACTTAAGAGGTCTAAAATAATTTAAAAATATACTAATATTTCTCAAATAACAAAACAAACAAGTATTTTAGAAATAGGATTGGGAATATGGGTAGAAATAATAACCCAAGCTGAGCCTTAGTTTTCTTTTTCTTTTTTGACAAAAATCCATCGCAACAACACAAGTCAAACTTTAGTTTTCTTTATTTATTTATTATTATTTTAACTGAAACCATCGCAACAACCCAAGAACAAATTTCTTCATACTGCCAACCGGATAGAGTCCAACCTCTTTCACATCTGCACCCACCGGTATGGACCTGCAGGACAACCCAAATCCGCTACGAGCAGAATTTGGATGGGAGTAAATTTTTGCAAAAAAGAGACTCAACTGCACTTGTACTACAGGCTTAGATATGGCGGCTATTTTTTGCTGCAATATTGGGTGCAAGGGTATTTCTAATGGTGTTTTTTTTTTATCTTAGAGAGTATATTTTACATAAATAAATAGTATCTTTTTTAATTTCTAAATATGAAAAACAAAATTTATATTCAAATTTAATAGGCTCTTTAAATTAGACTTAATAAAAGCATCTCTAAATGACTCTTTATATGACCCAAACTATTTATTATAAAGAGTCTATCTATAAAAACAAAAGTCCAACGTACTCTTTATCTTTAAAATATAAATTAGAGAGTGCGTTTGGCTCTCCAGATTTAGAAAATCAAATTTCACTCTCTATCCTAATTTTAATTAATAAACTACAAGTTTCTATGTATTTTATTTATTAATTCTCTCTCTCATTAAGTCTTTTTCTTAAAAATAAAGAGCATCTTCATTAAATTTAAAAAATCTATTGGATTTGAATAAAAATTGTATTTTTTATATTTAAAAATTAATGAAGATGCTCTTTATTTATATGAAAGATGCTCTTCAAAATAAAAAGTACCATTAGAGATGCTCTAAATAGGAGAAAGAATTAATAATAAAATGCATAGAAACTTGTCATTTATTAAATAAAATTGGAATAGAAAGTGAAATTTGACTCTATAAATATAGAAAGTGAAATTTGACTCTCTAGATGTAAAAAGTCAAACTCACTCTTTAATTTATATTTAAAGAATAAAGAGCCTATTGGACGCTTATTTTTATGGACAAACTCTTTATAATAAAGAGTTTGGGTCATACAAAGAGTCATTTGGAAATGCTCTACTACTTTCTCCATCTCTTTGCTCATGCAAAACACATCCTTTGTAATAGGTGTTCAAGGAACTCAACCGCGAAATAACGCAGAGAGGCAATAGTGAGAAGGTCGGCTTGGCTACATCGGCAAAATTGGAGTGCAGTAATTGTAGCATTGTTCCTCGCTATCGCCTCTCTGCATCATTTTGCAATTGAGTTCCTGGAACGGGCGTCAAAGTGCGACTGAAATTGGATTGTGGTGGTTGTCGTTATGGTGGCATTGGTAAACAATTGGACGATGGCAAAATGTGGTGGTGCAGGCATCGAGTGCGGTTGAAATTGTAGAATGTGGTGGCTGAGGTTTCTAAATTGGAATTGATTTGGGGAGAACCGGGTACCCCTTGGCCCAAGCCCAAGCCCAACCTTATGAAAAATGTCCAAGCCTGGCTCGGGCCCGTCACTGGTATGATAGGTAAAGCCCAAGCCTGACATTACGGGCATTTTGTAACCTCAAGTCCAGCACAAGTCCACCCATTTTCATAATGTGAATTTTTAAATATTAATAAATTTCAATTTTTTTTATATTTTTAATTCTAAAAATAGTTTTTAAATATTAATTTATTTTTGAATACTCATCAAATGGGATGAGATTAGGGTTTAAGAAAAATGAGTATATATATGTAAGATAATTTTGTAATTAAATATTTAGTATAAAGATAATTTAGTGAAATTAATACTAAAATTATCGGGTCAGGCCTTAAAATCAGACCCAAGCTCAAGCCCGCAAACAACGAGTAAAGTCTGACTTTTTCAGGCCATGCCGAGTCGGGTACCTAAAAATATCGGGTCCATTGCAATCTCTAATTTCTTTCTTACTCTAGCAAATCAATCATGCCACCCAAAGTTAATACACAAATTCAATTGATAAAAAATATTCGTGTTGAGTTGTGCAAAATAAAAGTTAATCTATTCAAAAAATAAAATTAATATTAAGACTTACAAAGAGACTCTTTCAAAAATTATTATTATTCGAATAACCTTTGTTTGTAAGAGTGGTTTTTGACTTCATAATTATTATTCGAAGAACTGAAAGGTACGTTTACCTAAATTTAGGTTGCCTTCTACCAAGCAAGTAGATTTAAATTTGTAATTATGGTTAATTTCACATATAAATCAAATTAAATTGTTATGTTAGAATTTAAGTCAAGTTTTTTATGTTTCACACAAATTATATTTGTATCATTTTCCAAGTTTAATATAGGGTTTACTTCATACATAATTTACGGGATCGTTTTATCTTAAACACACCCAAGATTTTCAGAAATCATTAAATACCCCCTATAACTATTAAACTCCCCTTTGAAATAGGTGGAATTTTAATAATTTAATGGGTATTTAATAATTATAGGAGGGCTTTTGATGGTTTTCAAAATGTTTGGGTGTGATTAAACAATCCCACAATGGGGTATGAAATAATTTTTTGTCTTCTGGAATAATGTTTTACTTTAATAGAGTTCTTAAAATCTGATTGAATCAATTAATAATCTAGTTCAAAACATGTTCATATGTTCTGAAATATGCTATAGTATAAAACAATGTAAATATTTGAGAGAAAACTCAATGGAGGAATTGCAAAACACTAATACTTTGTTATCAACAGTACATTTGTTTGTTGAAAGGTTCACTGAAACAATAGGTATAAACCACGAAGGCATTACAGTTGAATTAACAAGTTTTTTTTCAAGTACAAATCAACATGTAATCAAATCCATAAGCACATGAAAAAATAAAGAAAAAAACAGTATCCTTATAGTGTAGTGAACACATCCTAGCATAGAGGAAGAGGAGCTCCATTCCATTCCTTTAAACATTCCATCATGGGATCAATCAACTTCCCTGCACACATTGCTAAGAAAACTTTGTCAAATTCCTCACCTGGTGACCTTACTTTCTCACCAGTAAGGAAACTTGTTCCCAGTTCTTCTTTCACAAATTTGTACAATGGATAGGACCTGCATTCCTTGATCCTGTTTGGAACTGCTGCATTTCCATTCTCGATTTCGATTCTCGTGCTTTCAACTTCTTTGGGGAGAAGGGTTTTTAGTTCCTCCTCAAAGGCTCCAATCTTCTGGAAAATTGAAGTGCTCGAGTTTTTCTCTCTGTCTCCATTGGCCATGGCATGTTCAACTAGGACTTGCCTTAGTTTTTGCATTAATGGATAGGTTGCGCTGCAGGGATCATCGATGTATTCGAAAATGTATTCCCTGTCGACGACTTTAATCAAGTCTTTTTCGCAGAACCTTGATGGGTGAAGTTCGCCATTGAATCCCATTGTCAGGACTCTCTTGGCCACTTGACTCACTGTGTTCTTCACAGTGTTCTTTAAGTTCTCCTCCAAATGCCTCAAGTCAATGGCTTGGCATAGAGCAACCAAGTAAGTAGAGGACATGAGCTTCAATATGTCAACAGCTTCAGCTGTTTTTCTTGAAGAAATAAGGCCTAAAGAGTTCACATCTTGGTTGTGTTGCTCAGCGCTCTGGACATGATTGGTGACAGGATTGGCAAGGAATTGAAGTTCAGAACAGTAAGATGCCATCGCAATTTCAGCACCCTTGAATCCATAATCCAAGCTGGGATTGCGACCGCCAGAAAGATTTGAAGGCAATCCATTGTTGTAGAAGTCATTAACCAGCTCGGAGAACTGTGCAAACATGAGTTTACCAATGGAAGCAATGGCAAGACGTGTGTTGTCCATGGAAACACCAATTGGGGTCCCCTGGAAATTGCCTCCGTGTAGTGCCTTGCTCCTTGAAACATCAATCAATGGATTATCATTCACAGAGTTTATCTCCCTCTCGATCATTTTGGTCGCTGCGCGAATCACTTCAATCTGAGGGCCTAGCCATTGAGGAGATGTTCTAAGAGCATATCTGTCTTGTTTCGGCTTCTGAAGAGGATCGATTTCGTGCAACTTTTGAGCTGCTTTAACATACCCGCTGCCAGCTAAAATGTGCTCCATTATAGCTGCAGCTTCAATTTGGCCAGGATGGTGCTTCAATTTATGTGTCAAGTGGTCAGTAAACTCAGGTTTTCCATTCATAACTTCCGCGAAAATTGCTGATAAAACTTCTGATAGAATAGCAAGTACGTTAGCCTCAAAAAGAACCATTGAAGCTAAGCCAGAGCCAACTGCTGTGCCATTCACTAGTGCAAGACCCTCTTTAGGTTGCAACTCGAAGAATCCACTACTGATACCAGCAAGTTGGAAGGCTTCACTGGAGTTCAGTACTTGCCCGTTGGGCCCGACCGCCTTTGAGTTAGGCCTGCCGATCAAGAGTCCAGCAATGTAGGATAACGGAACCAGGTCGCCCGATGCAGTGATTGTGCCGCGGAGTGGCAAACATGGTGTGATGTTATGGTTAAGGAACTTGGTGATGGCTTCCAGGATATCAAACCTGATGCCCGAGTATCCTTGCAACAGGGTGTTGATTCTGACCAACATCGCCGCTCTTGTTGCAGAATGAGGCAATGTGTGGCATGATTCGGTACCATTGCCAAATATTCCAGCATTCAAGAACCTGAAAAAAAAAAAAAAAAAAAAAATTCAAAAACTACATCAGCTAGATGTACATAAATCCATCAAATTTCCAGGTCCTGGAATATTTTTTGTGTGGATATGGTCAGATTGACAGGTCCACCAAATTTCCAGGCCCAGGAATTTGTTTTTTTTGTTTTTTTTTGGTGGGTTGGGCCTGTATGGCCCACAGACAGGACCTGGTCCTGGTCTAAGCCGGACTGTTATTAAAAAATAAAGAATTTTTTACTATAGTTTGACTTGAGCACAAAAACTACCATTTATGGCAAACACCCCATCCTTTTGAGAAGAAAACATTAAATTTGACCCAGTAAAGTTCATATTTTTATATGAATCATGCAGTCCTTACACAGAAACAAATCAATATATGAAATTATGAAAAATATGGGATAAAAGTAATAAATTTCTTCTGTATCCACGTGATATGGTGCACCTAATTCTTATTTATGTTTGGTCACTTTCCCAATCCAAAACTTGGAGTGAACAAGAACAACTTCACCAAATCGAAAACTTGAAGCAGGCAAAATATATGTCACTTTCACCNCCACCATCGTCGTCAACCAACAAAGGACCGTGGACATCAACATAAAAAATGCGGGCGTTGTGCGCGCGCTGGCTATAGTTTTCTACACGCGAGAGAGAGAGGTTGGGCACGCTGCTGGTTCTGAGAAAGGCGCTGGCAAGATGACTTAGGCTTTTTGTCGAACAGGTGGAGAGCCAACTTCACAACCACCGGTTTTCAACGACAAAAATGATTCATAAACCCAGAAAAACAACACAAATCACTCCGAAAACAATCCCAACCAACCTCCAAAGCACAATCTCCTTTCAATTCCTTAGAAACAACCTCCAATTGAAACCAATCAAACCCAAAAATACACCAAAATTGCGAACCCTAGGGAGAGAGGAATCCGACGAACGATGAGCAATCAATAACGAAGATGTTAGGGGTTTTGAAGGTGGGAGACCGGTGAGTTGAATGGTGGTCTCGAGAGGGATTTTCGACGACGACAATGGCGACAGCGACTTCATTGTAGTGGTGTAGAGGGGTGGAGGTGATAAGGGTTGCATTATAGTGGTGTAGAAGGGTGGAGGTGATAAGGGTTTTGACGAGGGAGGTGAGGGGATGTGACATTTTAATTTCAAATTATAGTAAATGTCTATTTTAGCTTTTGAATGTTAAAAGAAATAAAACAGTATTAATTTAAGGGTGCGAATATGAAATATATAAAACTAGGTGTAGAAACTTAGCATTTCACTAATGTTTGGGTGGGAAGATTTTCACTCATCTTTTAAATTCCCACAATACTGTGGCATTACTTGCAATAAGATAGCTTATAATCTGTTTGTTTTTTTCTTCTTTTTCCTAATTTTTTATATATACTAATAGTGGAACTCGTATAGTGAGTTCCTGGCATCTCTCTGTGTATTTTTCTTGGAGCATTTTCCAACATTTTCTCACTTACCAAACACCTTATTTGAATTATTTCATAAAAATTTAGTGAAAATATCAAATTACTTTCAATACACGCCAATGGAAGCAATAAGCAGGCTTTTGTGAGGACAATAATACCAAGAAAATTGGGACGAGGAATGAGCTTGAAGATTGGCCGGGGAGGGTTCTTAAGCGAACTTCTTTTCTTGCAAAACTCAAAAAAAATTAAAATTAGAAGCATATGTATTAAAATGTTGAAGCTTATTCAATTGCCATCTTTGGGTCTCCACTGTTTTATAGTGGGTAATTTTGTACTCTTTCATCTGCAGCCACCATTATTGTCGGCTGAAAATGAAGAAATAGAATGTTTTTATAATAAAATTTAAAAAAATTCAAAAGATTAATCTAAAATGAAGTCAAATTTCCTTGCTAGTCAGGAATAGTAAAAATCCATTTGAGGTTTCCGAAATAGCTGAAATCCTATGAATCAGGCATACTCCAAATTGCCATGAATGGGAAAAAGAGTTAACCCATAATTTTCATTTCAAAAGGTAATAACAAGACTCCTGCTGACGGTTATTGTGTGATTCCATGGCTCTTAAACCATAATGAAATTGAAATTTCAAATGAAACTAGTTTATAAGTTTTTGTCATTTTAGCTTAATTAAAACTATTTGCAAGATATCTATACACTCACGGAGAGGGCTGAAAATACTGTAAGAAAGGTATCCATCCTACCATGAAATCAGAAATCAAAACTAATATGATAAAAGCAAAATTTAGGATCAGCATGAAGGTTTGATCAGTGCAAGAAGCATTGTGGGAGGTGAGAGATGTGTAAAGCATGGGAATATATAAGCCGATGTCGGGAGAAGTCTAGATTAGCATTCAATACTAGAATGCAACCCACGCCTTTTATTTCAACCCAATGCAAAAGCAAAATTCTTGTAGGAGAGGTTGCGACAGTCTCAATGTCATCACTCAAACAAAAAACTAGGGCCCTCTCCCTTTCCCATAACCTCACACATCAATCATCACTACCAACATTATCTTCCTGCTCATACCTTTTACTTGTTTGCCATCATGTCCCAGTTGTTACCAATAATATAGAAAATCCGGAAAAAACGAAAATTTTTAACAATTAAGATTTAATCTGAATTTTACTTTTCATTTATCAAAACTACTTGGATTCAAAAATTGCTACGAAACTGCTAAACTGAATTAGAAAAAACAATAAACATCAATCATCACTACCAACATTATCTTCCTCCTCATTCCTTTTATAAATAAATCTAAGAAAATCAGGAAAATAAATAATAATGATAATTAAGATTTAAAATCTGAATTTTAATTTTCTTTTACCAAAACTACTTATGCAGTTTCAATTAAGATTCAAAATTTGCTAAGAAACTGCTAAACTGAATTAGAAAGAACAATAAACAATTAAACATCAATCATCAGTGCCAACATATCAAGTTGTTGCGAATAATATAGAAAATAATGGAAAATAAATAACAATAATTAAGTTTTAATCTGAATTTTACTTTTCTTTTACCAAAACTGCCTTGTGCGGCAAAGCATTTCAATTCGGATTAAAAAATGGCTAAGAAACTGTTAAAAGTAATTAGGAAGAACAATAAACATCAATCATTTTAATTCGGATTCAAAAATTGCTACGAAACTGCTAAATTGAATTAGAAAGAACAATAAAACATTAATCATCACTACCAACATCATCTTCCTGCTCATATCCCTTTTACTTGTACCTATCACATCCAAGTTGTTACGAATAATATAGAGAATCCGGAAAATAAATAATAATATTATTAATTAAGATTTAATCTGAATTTTACTTTTCTTTTACCAAAACTACTTATGCAGCATAACATTTCAATTCGGATACAAAAATGGCAGAGAAACTGTAAACTGAATTAGACAGAGCAAAAATTATACCGATTTTGGCAACCATTATGCGAGAGATCAAACCATTCCGATCCGCTAACTTCTCAATCTATACCCATGGTTTCTGCCGCGGACTATGAGTGGCTCGGCAACTGTAATTTGACGGTCAGCGAGGACTGCCACGGAACAGATAGGAATAAATTAGGGTTTGGCTTTGAGGCAGCTATATAATGAATATGGGGTGGGTTAATTTTTATAAAAAAAATTTATTCTATTTACTTAGGACGGGCGTCCATTAAATGAGGATGCACATCCCTGGTATATGGACCCCCGTCCATATAATATGAACGATCGTCCGTGAGTGAACGGCCTTCCAAATTTGATGAACGGCCGTTCACTAGAAAAAAAAATATTAAAAAAATCAGAAGCGTGTTACACATAGACCGATACAATATTTCGGTGCAAAAATCCCAGGTCCGTAACATTATTGTTATTATTATACTACCCTTCACAAATAAATTGATATATTACTTTTTAATCCCCAAATTAGTAGAATTAAAAATAACTTATTTAAATTTATTTCAATAACATCCTCTTCTTCAACTCTTCACACATCCCATCTCCAACCACTAGTCATTGCCACGGCCACCACCACCTAGCCACTGCCACCATCGCACACAGCCATTATCACATCCAACCCTTTTTTTTTTTGTTAAATCTACCCTTTTTTATTTATAAGAAATTAAAATAAATGAAAAAACAAAAATCAATAAAATCCACCATCGTCGTCCACCAACAAAGGACCGTGGACATCAACATAAAAAATGCGGGCGTGTGTCGCGCGTGGCTATAGTTTTCTACACGCGAGAGAGAGAGAGGTTGGGCACGCTGCTGGTTCTGAGAAAGGCGCTGGCAAGTGACTTAGGCTTTTTGTCGAACAGGTGGAGAGCCAACTTCACAACCATCAGTTGTCAACGACAAAATGATCTATAAACCCAGAAAAACAACACAAATCACTCGAAAAACATCAACCAACCTCCAAAGCACAATCTCCTTTCAATTCCTTAGAAACAACCTCCAATGAAACCAATCAAACCCAAAAATACACCAAAATGCGAACCCTAGGGAGAGAGGAATCCGACGAACGATGAGATCAATAACGAAGAGTTAGGGGTTTTGAAGGTGGGAGACCGGTGAGTTGAATGGTGGTCTCGAGAGGGATTTTCGACGACGACAATGGCGACAGCGACTTATTGTAGTGGTTGTAGAGGTAATTTTCTATCATTTTCTTACATTAATATGTTAATGTTATAATAGTTTGTTTTCTACCTTATGTCCATCATCTTGATCATCATTTTCTCTCCATTTCCATGTCCAAAATGCATGAATCCCAACACTCGACACTGTGGCAAAACGAACCAATCTCGATTAGCCCAAAGCTCGACTCGGTTCATTTACACCCCTAATTCCAACCTTCATCCTCCCCTCTACAAAATCTCTCTCTCCCAACCTTTCTAGTCACAGCAGCTCACCATTTGCCATCCACCACTCCACTTAGGGTTTGTTCGTGTTTGTTGGAATTGGATGTTGATTGATAAGTTTTTGATTCAATAGAAGTTTTGGGTATGTTTGGATGTTTAATAGGAATGTTTTTGTGCTTGTTTTTGGTCGAAGAATCCACCTATTCACCACCATTTGCTCATCTTTCGTCAATGCACATTAGGTGCTCAACGAATTGCCTTAGCCAACTTGCCCATCTCCTTTTGATTGTTGTAGACTTGTTAGGCGATGGCTAGTTGGTTGGAGACAAGGATGATGTGGAGGTTGAAAAAGAGGGTGCTATTGAAATAAATTTGAAAGTAAGATAGTTATTTTTTCTAATTCTATTAATTTAGAGGTTAAAAAGTAATTCATTAGTTTATATGTCAAGGGCAGTATAGTCATAGCACCCTTTGCACCCATGTCAAAACCTAAAAATTGTTTATGAAGTTGGTTTAAGGGTGAGAACCCAAAATTTATGAAACCAGATGTGAAAAGTTGTCATTTCAATGAAGTTGGTTTAAGGGTGAAAATCTATAATTTATGAACGCAGGGGTAACTGGATCATTTTGTTTACTTGTTAATCTTTTAAAGAGCAAACGACATGTTCCCATCCAAGGTTTAGCTAATTAGCAAGTTTCCACCCCTGGTTTCATAAATTCCAGATTCTCATCCTTAAAGTAACATCTTTAGTGATTTTCAGATTATATAAAGATGTAAAAGGTGCTATTATTATCAATAATGCTACTGACACCGGGATTTTTACACCGAAATATTGTATCGGCCTACGTGTAACACGCCTCTGATTTTTTTAACAATTTTTTTCTAGTGAACGGTCGTCCATCAAATTTGGACAGTCGTTCACTCACATGGACGCCCGTCCATAGTATATGGACGGAGGTCCATATACCAGGGACGGGCGTCCCCATTTAATGGACGCCTGTCCATAAGTAAAATGGAATAAATTTTTTTTATAAAAATTAGGGACGGCCGTTCATCCGTTATGGACGGTCGTCCCTTCATTTTGGACGGGCATCCGCAAATAAGGAACGCTCGTCCTTAACCAAAATATGAAAATAAAAAAAATAAAAAAATTTGGAGACGACCGTCCATAAATTTTGGACGGCTGTCCCTTACATTTGGACGGGCATCCATTCCATACTTTAAAAAAAAAAAACACACATTTTTCGCTCTTCTTCTTCACTCCACTCCATCCCTGTAACACCTCAAATCCATTTTGCAGCAATCAGAAATACCTTGACATCTTACTGAACTTCAGAAAATATATATTAATCATGGATCACCTACAGCTCAGCTGTGACTTTTTCATTCTTTCCTTTGACAGGCCCGTTGAACATGTCTAAATCAAGATTCTCAATGCGGCAAGTGATCAAAACAACTTCATCCTCCTCCTCCCAAGCATTAGCTAGAAAGATAATTAATATTGAAAATAAGAAAGAGCAAACTGTATTTCATATATGTTAATTACAAATGAAATGAAGTACAATTATTCAAGAAGTATTGTTGCAAACTTTTTATTCCAGTTTATAAGCAGATAATGAGAGAATTATTAAGAACAGTGCAGACTTTTAAGTTTAAGAGAGTATGTTGACAGACCATTATGGACTATGAAGCAGTTTGGAAGCTCAAACCACCTGATTTGAACCTCATCCTTTGCACACCGTGGAAGTACACCAAAACGAGCTTTAATCGTTGGATCAAATGTCAATATCAGCTTGTTTTCTTTCACCATTTCCTATAAATTTATATGGGATAAAACACTTTCATGTTCTCCTTTCGAATTCATGAAAATTTTGAAATCTACAAGAAGTAAAAAATTCAGAAAATATAGACTTGTTCAACGGGCCTGTCAAAGGAAAGATTGAAAAAGTCACTGCTGAGTTGTTGGTGATCCATGATTAATATATATTTTCTGAAGTTCAGTAAGATGTCAAGGTATTTCTGATTGCTGCAAAATGAATCTGAGGTGTTACAGGGATGGAGTGGAGCGAAGAAGAAGAAAAGCGAAGAAGGTGTTTTTTTTTTTTAAAAGTATGGAGGAATGGACGCCCGTCCAAACTTAAGGGACGGGTTCCAAACGTAAGGGTCGACTGTCCAAAATTTATAGACGGTCGTCCCCAAATTTTTTTTTTTTTTATTTTCATATTTTGGTTAAGGACAGATGTCCCTTATTTGCGGACACCCGACCAAATTGAAAGGATAGTCGTCCCTAATTTTTATAAAAAAAATTTATTCTATTTTACTTATGGACGGGCGTCCATTAAATGAGGATGCACATCCCTGGTATATGGACCCCCGTCCATATAATATGAACGATCGTCCATGTGAGTGAACGGCCTTCCAAATTTGATGAACGGCCGTTCACTAGAAAAAAATTATTAAAAAAATCAGAAGCGTGTTACACATAGACCGATACAATATTTCGGTGCAAAAATCCCAGTGTCCGTAACATTATTGTTATTATTATACTACCCTTCACAAATAAATTGATATATTACTTTTTAATCCCCAAATTAGTAGAATTAAAAATAACTCTTATTTTAAAATTTATTTCAATAACATCCTCTTCTTCAACCTCTTCACACATCCCATCTCCAACCACCTAGTCATTGCCACGGCCACCACCACCTAGCCACTGCCACCATCGCCACACAGCCATTATCACCATCCAACCCTTTTTTTTTTTTTTGTTAAATCTACCCTTTTTTATTTATAAAGAAATTAAAATAAATGAAAAAACAAAAATCAATAAAATCCACCATCGTCGTCCACCAACAAAGGACCGTGGACATCAACATAAAAAATGCGGGCGTTGTGCGCGCGCTGGCTATAGTTTTCTACACGCGAGAGAGAGAGGTTGGGCACGCTGCTGGTTCTGAGAAAGGCGCTGGCAAGATGACTTAGGCTTTTTGTCGAACAGGTGGAGAGCCAACTTCACAACCACCGGTTTTCAACGACAAAAATGATTCATAAACCCAGAAAAACAACACAAATCACTCCGAAAACAATCCCAACCAACCTCCAAAGCACAATCTCCTTTCAATTCCTTAGAAACAACCTCCAATTGAAACCAATCAAACCCAAAAATACACCAAAATTGCGAACCCTAGGGAGAGAGGAATCCGACGAACGATGAGCAATCAATAACGAAGATGTTAGGGGTTTTGAAGGTGGGAGACCGGTGAGTTGAATGGTGGTCTCGAGAGGGATTTTCGACGACGACAATGGCGACAGCGACTTCATTGTAGTGGTGTAGAGGGGTGGAGGTGATAAGGGTTGCATTATAGTGGTGTAGAAGGGTGGAGGTGATAAGGGTTTTGACGAGGGAGGTGAGGGGATGTGACATTTTAATTTCAAATTATAGTAAATGTCTATTTTAGCTTTTGAATGTTAAAAGAAATAAAACAGTATTAATTTAAGGGTGCGAATATGAAATATATAAAACTAGGTGTAGAAACTTAGCATTTCACTAATGTTTGGGTGGGAAGATTTTCACTCATCTTTTAAATTCCCACAATACTGTGGCATTACTTGCAATAAGATAGCTTATAATCTGTTTGTTTTTTTCTTCTTTTTCCTAATTTTTTATATATACTAATAGTGGAACTCGTATAGTGAGTTCCTGGCATCTCTCTGTGTATTTTTCTTGGAGCATTTTCCAACATTTTCTCACTTACCAAACACCTTATTTGAATTATTTCATAAAAATTTAGTGAAAATATCAAATTACTTTCAATACACGCCAATGGAAGCAATAAGCAGGCTTTTGTGAGGACAATAATACCAAGAAAATTGGGACGAGGAATGAGCTTGAAGATTGGCCGGGGAGGGTTCTTAAGCGAACTTCTTTTCTTGCAAAACTCAAAAAAAATTAAAATTAGAAGCATATGTATTAAAATGTTGAAGCTTATTCAATTGCCATCTTTGGGTCTCCACTGTTTTATAGTGGGTAATTTTGTACTCTTTCATCTGCAGCCACCATTATTGTCGGCTGAAAATGAAGAAATAGAATGTTTTTATAATAAAATTTAAAAAAATTCAAAAGATTAATCTAAAATGAAGTCAAATTTCCTTGCTAGTCAGGAATAGTAAAAATCCATTTGAGGTTTCCGAAATAGCTGAAATCCTATGAATCAGGCATACTCCAAATTGCCATGAATGGGAAAAAGAGTTAACCCATAATTTTCATTTCAAAAGGTAATAACAAGACTCCTGCTGACGGTTATTGTGTGATTCCATGGCTCTTAAACCATAATGAAATTGAAATTTCAAATGAAACTAGTTTATAAGTTTTTGTCATTTTAGCTTAATTAAAACTATTTGCAAGATATCTATACACTCACGGAGAGGGCTGAAAATACTGTAAGAAAGGTATCCATCCTACCATGAAATCAGAAATCAAAACTAATATGATAAAAGCAAAATTTAGGATCAGCATGAAGGTTTGATCAGTGCAAGAAGCATTGTGGGAGGTGAGAGATGTGTAAAGCATGGGAATATATAAGCCGATGTCGGGAGAAGTCTAGATTAGCATTCAATACTAGAATGCAACCCACGCCTTTTATTTCAACCCAATGCAAAAGCAAAATTCTTGTAGGAGAGGTTGCGACAGTCTCAATGTCATCACTCAAACAAAAAACTAGGGCCCTCTCCCTTTCCAGCCTTTCCCATAACCTCACACATCAATCATCCCTACCAACATTATCTTCCTGCTCATACCTTTTACTTGTTTGCCATCATGTCCCAGTTGTTACCAATAATATAGAAAATCCGGAAAAAACGAAAATTTTTAACAATTAAGATTTAATCTGAATTTTACTTTTCATTTATCAAAACTACTTGGATTCAAAAATTGCTACGAAACTGCTAAACTGAATTAGAAAAAACAATAAACATCAATCATCACTACCAACATTATCTTCCTCCTCATTCCTTTTATAAATAAATCTAAGAAAATCAGGAAAATAAATAATAATGATAATTAAGATTTAAAATCTGAATTTTAATTTTCTTTTACCAAAACTACTTATGCAGTTTCAATTAAGATTCAAAATTTGCTAAGAACATGTAACGAAGTAGAAAGAACAATAAACAATTAAACATCAATCATCAGTGCCAACATATCAAGTTGTTGCGAATAATATAGAAAATAATGGAAAATAAATAACAATATAAGTTTAATCTGAATTTTACTTTTCTTTTACCAAAACTGCCTTGTGGGCAAAGCATTTCAATTCGGATTAAAAAATGGCTAAGAAACTGTTAAAAGTAATTAGGAAGAACAATAAACACATCATTTTAATTCGGATTCAAAAATTGCTACGAAACTGCAAATTGAATTAGAAAGAACAATAAAACATTAATCATCACTACCAACATCATCTTCCTGCTCATATCCCTTTTACTTGTACCTATCACATCCAAGTTGTTACGAATAATATAGAGAATCCGGAAAATAAAATAATATTATTAATTAAGATTTAATCTGAATTTTACTTTTCTTTTAACAAAACTACTTATGCAGCATAACATTTCAAATCGGATTCAAAAATGGCAGAGAAACTGTAAACTGATTGACAGAGCAAAAATTATGCGAGAGATCAAACCATTCCGATCCGCTAATTCTCAATCTATACCGGTTTCTGCGCGGGACTATGATGGCTCGGCAACTGTAATTTGACGGTCAGCGAGGACTGCACGGAACAGATAGGAATAAATTAGGGTTGGCTTTGAGGCAGCTATATAATGAATATGGGGTGGGTCGGGGGCGGGACTCCCTAATTAGTCAAAAGTCGAATAGCATTGAAACGATGGCGTTTTATTCTCATTTTGCAGTCATTGGCTCTGGCGCGGGACGGGAATAAAACGCCCTCCTCTAGATTTTTTTTTTTTTTTTTTTTTCGTTAAGTTAAATAAAAGCTGATAGGGAGGCGGCGTAAAACACCGGATTGGATTAGGTTTCTTTTTTTTTTTTTTTTTTAATTATTACTGGATAAGAATGTATTGTGACATTAAATTTAATATTGTCTTATGTTAACACAACATCGATTAAATATATAGTTAAGTAATGATAATAATTTATATCATTAAAATATTTAAATAAATAATATTAAATTCTTTAAATAAAAAATTTGAAAATAATAAATTAATTATATTAACCTGCGGCCAATTCATGTCGGAGCGGAGGGGCACCAAAGTCACATGTTAGGTTAACCTTCAGCAATCTAACGGTGATACGGAAAGATCATCACTGCTAATGTTTTATTGAAAGGCGACAACTAGGGGTGTTCAAAAGCGGTTAACCGAACGGTTAACCGTTTTTTTTAACCGAACTGGTTTTTCGGTTCGGAAAATTCCCGAACCGAAACCGAACCGGTTTAGAGGGAAAACCGGTTTTTCGGTTAACCGAAAAACCGTTAACCGTTTTTTTTAAAGCGGTTAACCAAACGGTAAACGGTTTTGAACGGTTTCCCTTTTTTTATAAAACTTATTCTTTTATTTTTTCCTAAATTAATTGTAAATTAAATAATACCTATCCAAATAAAAATTAGACATCATATATATCCATTGACCACTACTAACGATACATTAAAAATATTTATTTTTTATTTAATATATAATATATAAATTTATTTTTTATTTATATATAATATTTATTTTTAATTAATATATATATATATAAGATATATATATTATAGGTAAAACCGGTTCAAAAAACCGGTTTCGGTTAACCGCTTTTTATTTTTTCCCGAACCATTAACCGAACCGGAAATTCGGTTTTTTGAATTTTTCGAACCGTAACCGA